TGGAAAAGCCTCGTTACATTATATGCTGGCGGAGGGAAGGGGGAACATCCAGGTGACACTGGTGATTTCACATAGGTGTTGTGGTCTTGGAAATGGCTGTTGTTCTGCTGGAGGCCGGCTGGGAGTCCTCCATGCCTTGTGCTGGCGCTTCAAGTTTGCTGTCATCTCTGGTGTAGTCATCCGGGGAAACGCTCTCAGTGTGTTTGGAAGGCAGTAGCAGGTGCTGCTTTGCCATTTTGATCTTAAGAATTTGGACATTAGCCGGGCGGTGGTGGCGCACCCCTTTAATCCTAGCACTCAGGAGGCAGAGGCAGGCAGATCTCTGTGAGTTCGAGGCCAGGCTGGACCAACAGCCTCCAAAACAATACAGAGAAACCCTGTCTCGAAAACAAACAAACAAACAAACAAAAAAAAAGAATTTGGACATTGTCGAGGAAATATTCCAAGAACCACTTAAGGACTGTTTATTTCCTAAATCTGTTCATGTCCAAATTTTCTTTCTGTTCATCACAACAGAGAGAAGCAAGGCAGAAACTGCCAGGACACGCAATTGTGAAGACAAGTTTGCTGTGTTCTCCTCCCCACCCCACTCTCCCATACATAGTCCCCTGTATATCACGTCTGTACCTGCCCTAAAAGATACCGTTGTCAGGCGGGCAGTGGTGGTGCACACCTTTAATCCCAGCACTTGGGAGGCAGAGGCAGGCAGATCTCTGTGAGTTCGAGGCCAGCCTGATCTACAAAGTGAGTTCCTAGGACAGGCTACAAAGCCTGTGTTGAAAACCAAACAAACAAAAAAAGATACAGTTGTCATCGCTAGGCCTGAGATATGGGCAGTTGGGAGCTTGAAGCAATAGGAGTCTCTGAGTTTGAGACTAGTCCGGGCTGTTTGTGTGAGACTGTCGCTCAACCAAGCAAACAGATTAGTAGTCGGTAGGTACATGTGGTTCTTTTAATTTAAAGTTTCCTCCCTTGTTTGCCACCGAGCAGGTATTTAGTGACCAGCAGTTATTGTGCTGCTCGGGGAAGGTTTAATAACTTGCAACAACTTCCGTCAGGCAGCAGTGTTCCTCGTAACCAAAGGGCAGCACCAGAAAGAAGCTGGTTGTCCGTAGAGCATGTGGCACCAGGCCCAGGTGTGGGCGAGGTTCCTAACATCCCTCTCTGCCCCCCCCCCGTGCTTCCAGGGATCTCTTCAATGCTGCATTTGTGTCCTGCTGGTCTGAACTGAACGAAGACCAACAAGATGAGCTTATCAGAAGCATTGAGTTGGCGCTCACTTCTCAAGACATCGCCGAAGTCACGCAAACCCTCTTGAACCTGGCTGAGTTCATGGAACACAGTGACAAGGTCAGAGCCTTTGCCCCCACTGTCTCAGTGGACGGTGATAGGAATCCAGCCGGCGGGAGGGGCCGCTTACACACAGCCCACTCTTGAGTGCGCCCCACCTACCACCATGTTCCTACACTTTCCTCTAGGGCCCCCTGCCACTAAGAGATGACAATGGCATCGTGCTGTTGGGTGAGAGAGCTGCCAAGTGCCGAGCGTATGCAAAAGCGCTACACTACAAAGAACTGGAGTTCCAGAAAGGGGCCACACCTGCCATACTCGAGTCCCTCATCAGGTAGGCCCTGAACGCCCGTCTTACTCACTGGGGCTGGTTGTAGGACCAGCCGCATGAATCTGCTGTCAGGTCTGGGTGGCACATGTAGATACGTGGTTTCAGATGGCTGTCAGTAGTCAAGCCATGTTGTCACATCTGTCAACCCTTAGCACCTTCACTCTGTGGTTTTCCAACCTGTGCCTTCTTGTCCTAGTGCAATCCACAAGACCCTAGGAAAGACAGATGTGCCGAGCAGGATTAGGGTGCCCAGAGGCAGGGTCAGGTTTTAGAGATGATGCCTTTTAGTGACCAGGCTTCCTCCTTTGGCATTCTGTGACTATAAAAAGGGAAATCTGAGATGCAGTGATCTTTCCTGATTCGGTTTTGTTCTCTCCTCTCCTAAGATGGTTTGGAGTCTTCTGGATATGGAAAAGAAGGTTGTTTAATAAATTTTATGCTGTTAGAAATTACAGGCAGCCAGAAACATTAGCCTCAGCACCTAGAGGACTGCTCACTTCCCCCAGTGATTTTAGAAATGTTGACTCTGAAATCTGCCATCTCCATGGAGATGCTAACATGGTTCATCGTTTAACTGCAGACAAGATAGCTCAGGACAAATCCACAGATAGCAAACTCCTGGGTAGGCTGACAGACCCTGCCGAGTGCTCTTTGCACACTCTGCCTTTAGCAAAACGCAAAACGTGGGAATGGAATCCTACTTCTGCCAGACCCACTGACACAGAGAATGTCAATTTCTGAAGTACCTGTGGGGATAGCTGCAAATGTGCCGTCCCACGAGGACTGCTTCAGCGCGGGAAACACAAAGACTTGCCTTTCTCCCTCCTACCTCTCACTTGTACAGCCTCATGTGATGACTTACAGAAACGGGTACCTAACTGGTTAACCCATCGTGTCCTTGCTGACTTTTCTGAGACCTGTTTGAAACTCTTCCTCATCCCACTGTTGGCTTTTTCTCATATTTGAGACAATCATAGAAACATTGAAGTTAATGCAGTTTTTAGCAGAAAGGTATAATATGGCTAGAAAAGTAGTCATTGGCTTTTTAAGGCAATGTAACTGAAAATGATCATAATTCCCTGCAAATAGATTGGATTTGACGCGTTTTGTTTAGTTTATTGTAAAATCGGGCCTGAGGGAAAGCATGCACTCTTAACTACTCAGGCCTGCTCAGCTGACGGAGCTTGGGTGGCCTCTGCCCCTTGGGCGTCCTCTGGAGCCTCCCCAGTCCTCTTCCCTGAGCACCGCTGTGATGACTGTGGTACCGTCTTTACTGGGGGTGTCATGTCTGTTTGTTTATTTGATTTACAGAGTGAACTTAGATTCCCCCTGCCTTAGAAAGTTGTAGGAACAGCCTTGGGCAAAGCTACTGTTGGGAAGCTGCCCCGTAGCACTCCCAGAGATGTAGGAGAGACACCTAATGACTCCTCTTGGGGTCACGGCTCTTTGAGTTGCATGCCCCCTTTGTGGGTCTCAAGACACTGATTTCCTTTCTTCACAGTGGCTTCTAAGTTCCTGCTCCTCTCCCCTAGGCAAACTGTGGGTGTCTTGTCTGTTTTGACAGTTAACACACCTCCCTCCACACAAAGGTTGATTTTTTTTTTTAAACTGTTCATATTCCACTTACCAATTATTCTGTTCTCAGGGTCTATGGTAATATATACACTTAACATTAACAAGCTATTTCTTATTTTTGTTGTTGTTGTTGTTGTTGTTTTTTAAAAAAACCAACTATTTCCTTTTGAGCCAGATGTAGTACACCTGTAACCCCAGCACTCACGAGGTAGATTTGGGAGATTTTTCTGCTCTGGTTCTGTCTGTCTGTCTCCTGCTTGTTGGCTTTCTTACGTCTCTATTCCAGGACAAATTAAGTCCCACATGTAATCTCCACTCTGGGTCAACACTAAAACAGTATCAACTGTTTCAAGCTCATATAGATGAGAAAGTATAATCACTTCTTAGGGGAACAGTGGATTAGAAGGAATTGAATTTTAAGAAACACATAATAACTGTGGTGGTTTGTTGATTATCCAGTGCGTGAGGGCAGTGGTCTGTTGGCCTGTCTTTTGTTCTTGTTGGTTGAGACAGGATCTCACTGCATAGCCTTGGCAGTCCTGGAACTGTGTGTAGACCAGGCTGGCCCCAGCAGAGATCCACCAGCCTCTGCCTCCCGAGTGCTGGGATCAAAGGTGTGCTCCGCAACACCCAGTAGCTGGGCTTTCTTCTCTGCTCGGTAGAGAGAGAATCTCATCAAAGTTGTGTGCTCCCTGTCCCGCGTGTTGTCTCTGTGTTACATGTTTCTGGTTGAGGCATCTGCACAGTTAAAAACAAGGACTGGAGATGACTAGGTGGATCGCTTGTAGTGCCAGTGTGGGCATGCCCCTCAGCACTGTGCTGTGTGACTCCTGTTCCCATTTCTCACAGGGCCTCACACAACGATGCCTCCTTGGTTTTCTGCAGCAGCAGCCAGCTCTGCTTCCGGTTCCTGGTCATAGGCTGTGGAGGAACTGTCTGTGGTGTCCGTCTGTCACTATCCTTGGTTTCTGTCTGTCAGGCAGTACCAAAGTACATGCTCAGAAATGGGGGAGCTAGGAATGCCTTGCCCATCCTTAACTCTCCGTTCTTCCCGTGTCTGAGAAGTTTCTCTAGGGAGTGTGGAGACCCACGGAAGCCATCAGCTTCCTTCCTATCCTCCAATCCACCGGTGCTGGGCATCTCACTCTCCTACCCGCCTGAGGGAGTCTGTGTTTGCATAGCGCTCCCCTGGGAACCCGCTTTATGCAGCTTCTCTTCTCACTATTTCTTTGAAAACTTCCCAAGGTTCTGTTCCTGAGGGGAAGTGGATCCCCAGGCATTGTGGGTACAGTAGCAGTTACTAAGTGAGAGGCATGGCTTGTCTTGCATGACTCCAGAGGACAGTTCTTGTGGTGAGCCCGAGCTGGTGTGGGACTGCCAGTGCCAGGCTCTGCCCTGCTCTCCAGCGACTCAGGCCCTCCCCCTTCCTCCCTTCCTCTCCACCCTTCCCCCCCTGCCCTCCCACTCCCCTTTTCCTTCTCTGGCTTCCTGCTCCTTTGGTTTCCTTGACTATGGAACCAACTCAAGGGGCCGTGCTCACTCTGACTTTTTTTTTTTTTTGGTTTTACGAGACAGGGTTTCTCTGTTTTGGAGGCTGTCGGTCCAGCCTGGCCTCGAACTCGCAGAGATCCGCCTGCCTCTGCCTCCTGAGTGCTGGGATTAAAGGCGTGCGCCACCAACGCCCGGCCTTCACTCTGACTTTTTACCCAGAGTTCTTACCTCGCTCTCGGTGATAACAAGAATTTCAAAGGAAATACTCAGATTTTGATAGTATTTGTTGTAAAAGAAAAAGATATCTTGAATGTTTAAGACAGAGATCACAATCTTTTATTTTTACAAAGCATAAGTTTTTAACCACAGCTCCATCTACCTTCATTTTCCAGACATTGTTCTCCTAGACAGTATTTTTAAAGGGGATCTCTTTGAGTCCATTTCTTACAGAATGAGTAAAAATGGATATGTATGTCGACTGAGAATGTTTTAAGGCTCACCTCCCACTGGTCTTCACTCCCACACCCACCCCACAGCATGCCTGGCAATGCTGTTCCCTGACCCAGACCCGGCCCTGGAGAGTCCTTGAAACAAGTTTAGCCCCCACATTTTTGTCTCTTAAAAATCCTATAAAGCTGTGTGGTGGCACAGGCTTGTCTCTTAAAAATCCTATAAAGCTGTGTGGTGGCACAGGCCTTTAATCCCAGCACTTGGGAAGCAGATGCAGGTAGATCTCTGAGTTCAAGGCCAGCCACTACATAATGAGTTCAGGACAGTCAGAGCTGTGTAGAGAGAGATTCTGTCTTAAAGAGAAACTCAAAATCCTATAGACACAAGGAAATGTCATGCGGTTTAAGAAGAGGAAGCCGCCACCTTCTCCTCTGACAGTCACAACAGTTCTTTTTATTTGCTCTTCCCCTCGGGTCATCTACGCCTTAGTTAGAGAGAATGGGTAAAGTACTTCAGGGTTCCTGTTTCCCATGGGTAAGTCATGTAGGCTGCTGCTCTCTGGGTCCATGCAGTCCTCCCCCTTGGCACCAGTGGCAGGCCCACCGAGGCTACTAACTGTTGCCATTGCTGGTGTACTGTTTGGTACCTGTGGTTCTACTGGGTGTGCATGTGCTCACGTTGGTGGCACAGAGAAAGTTCCGTCATGTTCCCTAGAGATTGACTTTTCATTGAAGATGATAGACCATTCCCTTCCTGCCATTTCTCCGCCTCCTCCCTTCCTGCCCTGCCCCCCTCAGCCTTCCACATCTCGCTTCCATGGCTCTGCATTGATTGCAGCAGCCTTCTTAGGGCTGGAAGACTTCAGGACGGATCTTCATCTCCACTCGCTTGAGGGAGTAGTTGGCTCCATGCCAGCCATACCAGCTGATGCCATCCATGTGTTTCCTGTGCTCCCCCTGGCGGTAGTAGACCCCATTGAGGTTGGAGTCTGTGCAGCAGTTGTACCAGTAGCCACCTGGCATGAGAAACAGAGGAGGCGGGCAGGCTAGACTGTGGCTGACGGATGGTGTTAAAACTGACAGCCAGAGCACAGCAAAGGGAGCACCGCAGCCAGAGCACAGCAAAGGGAGCACCGCAGCCAGAGCACAGCTGCAGCTTACTGCTCACTCTCAGTGGGACTGTGGGTCCCAAGCTTCACCCCCACTCTGCCTCCCAGATCTCACCTTTACGGAGCTGTGCACACTTGTCTAAGCAGTTGTCGTTGTCCTTGTCCTTGGTGCTGAAGACCGTGTTGTTATGATAGAGGAGGGCATCCTTGCCCACGTTGCCACTGTAGTTCCCCAGGAAGAGGCGGTAGCTGTTCAGTTCGTTGGCCAATGCAAAGTGGCTGTACTCGGCATAGCGTGCGTTGCCCTCCCAGTCCTGGCAGGGAGGAGCAGAGCCTGAGTGAGGCTGTGAAGGACTTCATTTCTACAGACCCTGAACCCTTTTCTCTCACTAGCACCACAGCCCAGCGTCTCTTCAGTGGTGGGCTCTGATAAGACTGTTACAGTTCACCATGTTAGCTGGTGAACAAAGGGCTCAGGCCTAACTTGGGTCTGGACTTACCATGTAACCTGGATTGTTCTTTCTGTAGCCCTTCATGCCTCTGTCTGACTTTTGTTAAATCTCACTCTGAGATGCTGTAGGAGCAAGTGGGGATGTTGGACTTGAAGCCTTCTAGAGGGGCATCACCCCAGCATCACTGCTATTTGCATTTAGGAAGATCCCAGAGGATGGTGTTTCTGTCTCTCTAACTCTGGGTTTATTACCCTGTTCTGCCTTGGTTCTTCCTGGGTCTGGGTCAGCTACAGTTTAACTTTTCTGAGAGATAGAAAGAAAAAAATCTTCCTCAACTGTACTGAACCTTCAAGGAAATTGTCACAGTGATTGTACAAGCCTAATGTGACTAGACAGTGGTGACGCTTCCATATCATGCATTGTCATGTGCAGTGTGCCTGGCCAGTCAGGGCCTCACAGCTAGCTGGAGCTTACCTCACAGCTGGAGCTTACCTCTAGCTCTACACGGAGCCGCGTTGGCTGTCTGGTAAGCCGGTGGATGTGTTCATTCCCTAGCCAGAAGTCCCCTCGGATGCTGCCAAAGCCCTGCTTGTACTGTCTCCAGTCTTGGTAGAAGGAGACAAGGCCACTCTTACGTCTCTGGATGACGGTCCAGCCTCCTCCTGAAGTTTCCATATCACAGAACACCTGAAGCAGAGAGAATCTTCTGGTCAGGGGCAGGAGCTCGAGGACAGACTCCCAACTGTGTGCTGTGCCTGCAGGGTTAGCAGCTCATGTACTCTCTGCACACTCCAGCAGAGATACTGCCGCTAGCGTGGAGGGGCTGGGGCACAGTGATGCTTAGCTTGGGAATGTATATGGGGGGCGGGGTGTCAGGTGAGCACAAGCTGAATGGAAGAATTAGGTACTTGCATGTGCCTCCTCCTAATGTCTCCTTTCCTCTCCTAAAGAGCAGTTGTTCTAGGACATTACCAGAAATGTGAACTAGTTATGTGCTGGTGAGAATTAAGTGTTGGTGAGTTGACATTTTGAAAAGAAGTAGCTGGTTGGAATTTATGGGAGGAATCCCATAAATTGGGCGTTCTCATAGCTCCACCATGTGGTATATTTGCCTCTCTGATTTCCCTTTTTGTAGACCAGACCAGGTCCTGATGTCTCCATGCCGTTTAGGGCTGGAGGACAAAGGGTAGGACATGGCAGTAGCAACCTCACCTCCAGCTCTGGGCTGCCCAGGAACTCATCGGGAGGAAGCTTGTACACTCCAGAGATTCGGTAGTTCTTCTGGTAGAGGGAATAGCAGTCATAGATGGCATCTGAGGGGGACAACAGAGTGAGCAGAGATCTGGACCCCAGAGGTGGGAGGGCATGCCTACTGATCCGAACCAGATTAAAAACCAAGACTTTATTTCTACCATAGGGTCTCATGGGTAGAGGAGGGCATCGGGATTGCGGGGGCATTTTTGGGCTTCCTGTTAGGAGACAATAGAGTAGGGAATCCCTTCACCTGTGCCAAAGGGCATTAGCCAGGGAGCTCCAGGTTAAGTGTGAGTAAGTCAGGCACCCTGCTGTAGCATCAGGCATGAAACAGAAATGGTGTGGTCTGTGACGTAGCTTCAGGCTGCTTGGGTGGGACCTCAGCCAGAGGCTGGGTAGAAGGTTTGCTTGTTGCCGTTTCTTGGTTTGTTTGGTTTGGTTTGTTGTTTCTCAGGTAATAACTGCTATGGACTGGTACTCTAATGAGGGAGACAGATTTAAAGTCTTAGCCCCTCCCCAGTCTCACATTGCTAGATGTTCAAATGAAAGTCAGAGCCCTGAGGAGCCCATTGGGACGTTCCCTGCAAGTTTTGATAAAGCAAGGAAATGAGCCTTTCCCATTTCCCCTTGGGCTTGATTTAAAAGCTGTCCTGGCGGCCTTGAGGCTGCTGCTCTGTGCTGGGTTTTGTCTCCTGGTTCTGAACGGCGGAGTGGGGCTTCAAAGACACAGCTGCTTCCAGGAGTCTGCGCTGTTGAAGGAGACCCTTCCTGACCTCCTTGGGACTTCTTTGGTGCCCAGTGGCATGGGTGGAAGTTCCCAAAGTGCCTGTTTCTGCACAGAGCATGTTGGGAAAGGGGAAGTGAGGTGCACCTGCCCTTCTTCCCAGGAGACCTCTAGTAGCAACAAGTGGTGCTGTCACCTCTGCATCTGGTGGCTTCTGTATTGCCAGTTTCACCTCACAGGCCAAAGGAAGACTCACTTACCTGGTCAATGACAGCACCCACCTCTCGCTTCCCAAACCGAGGACCAGGAACTCCAAGCAGTTTGTGTGTTGGTTTAATTAGCTAACAGACTTTTCAGGGTTAACTTCGGGCAATACTTTTTCTTTGTCTGAATCAAGTGTAAACAGTGAGAAATGCTTCACCTATAGAATACACTCATTCAAAGTGTTTTCCAGTAACCTTAGAAAATTAGATTTGTCTCTGAGCAGCAAATTCATCTATTGGCCTGTCTGCCAAGCTAACCAACAACTGAGCACTGTTTTCCTGAAGAACGAATTGCATGTGCCTTATTTGTAGCCGTTAAAGACCAGCATTTCAACATTACCTTTTTACTTACTTCGTTATTTAGGGGAGTTTTAGCAGCAAACATGGGAGGAAATGGATCAGAACTGTAGAATCACGCTATAGATAATGCACTCCCCAGAGGTCCCCAAGTTGTTCTGTTGAGCAGGTCATCCAGAAGCAGTGCTGGGGTCAGAGACCCTCAGCAAGCACGGGTGTGGAGTACGGGACAGCGCTTACCTGCCGAGGTCTGTGTGACGGTCTGTGCTGCCTGGAGCTGCATGATGTCGATCTGGTTGTTCATCTCGGAGTACTTGCTCTCGGCCACTGTGAGGCGGGACTCCATGCGCTTGCTGCTGCTCTCCAGCTCCATCACCTGCATGACCACGCTGACCCAGTCGCTCTCCTGCTTCCTGCTCAGCTCACCCAGGAGGCTGCTGAGGTTGGCGACCTGGGCTCTGAGCTCCCTCACCTCCTCACAGCATGCGGCTGCTCTGAGCTGAGCAGGTGTCTTGCGCTTAGGAGGCTTCTGCAGCCACACAGGGTGGCTGACAAAGGCCACAAGGAGAACGCATACCCAGGTCTTCCTCAGCGTCATCTGGAGGCCTGTTGGAGAAGTCTCCCTCTAGAGTCTGGGGCTCTGCAGGAAGCTTATTTTTTTGACTCACACTGGCCGTTTTCTGCCTTCCTGGTGGTCTCCTTCCAAGGTGCTTTCTTAGCCTTTCTCAAAGCTAGAGTTTCTGAAGTGGAACTCAGTGGGTATTCGAACACTTTCCTTCCCAAGTCTGAATGCCCCACCAAGGCAGCATCTTAAATATTGTTGGTGCCTGTACCTCCACCCTACCACGGCTGTGTGCTGAAGCCCCTCCCACCTCATCTGGGAGGGTCAGGTGCCTGTTGAGTGAAGTCAGCTCAAACTTAGGCCAGAGGAGAGGAGGAGGGGGCCGGCCGGGCGAGTGTCTGTCTCCTTGTCTGTGGAGTCTCTGGGCTCAGACAGGAGGCTGAGTTTGTTTCCAGTTGCGCCTGTTAGATTATACCCTGCCAGCCACTGGCTCAGCTCGACAGGCAGTAGACGAGTTTCCAAACTCCCACCCGAAGGTTATGTAACACAGACTAAGAGTCGGGACTGAGACTGCTGAGCCAGGGAGGCCTGCTAAGGCAATCTGTGCTGTTTACTTGTGGTTCTGGTTTATTTGGACATCCCGATGAGTGTGGGCAAAGATAAGTTTTAACTGGGCTGGATGCGTCTTTTTCTGGTCCTCACTCGGTGTCTTCCAGAATCCTGTTGAACCTGAATTAGTAGTTTGTGTCTGTGAATTGCCTTTCTTTTTATACACCTTCCTCCAAAAAGATCACTTGACATTTTACAAGGAGGTGTCACCAGCTGAGGACATCGAGGAGGACTCAGCCGTGCCAGGCATGGCTCTGGGATTGGTCACTGGCACTGTCAGTGTCCCGGCAGCAGTGAAGAGGCCCCAGTTTTGCCCAGACTTCAAACTCAGAGAAAAGACTCCCTGTCTCCTAAGCAATCAGGGTCAGGCATCTAGGTCCCCTCACTCCATGCAGTGTGGTTGCAACTTGTTGTTAACCCTCCTGTGCCTGCCTATGCCTTTGCCTGAGAAGCGAGGTTATTACAACCTTTGTCTCTTTGTCTGCTTTATTTGAGGTGCTCTTCTTTTTTTTTTTTTTTTTTTTTTTTTTTTTTTGGTTTTTAGGAGACAGGGTTTCTCTGTATTGTTTTCGAGGCTGTCGGTCCAGCCTGGCCTCGAACTCACAGAGATCCGCCTGCCTCTGCCTTTGAGGTGCTCTTCTAAAATCATGTGAAAACATGGAACTTTTCACTGAAACTGTATACAAAGGAGCTCTATCTTTGGAACATGCTTGCTGTTTCTATGTTGGTAAGCCACTGAGGTAGTCACTTGTCTTGCTACTCAGCCTGGTTCCCACATACAGACCTGACATTGCACAGCTTTTCCTACCATAACCCCTTTGAGCCTTTTCCAGTGGGATGTCTGGCTCCTCAGAAAGTGGTTTCTGTTTAGGCAGCTCAGGTGAGCAGCAGGTTTACATTTCTGAATGAAAAAGCATTAAGGACTCAGACCACGTCTTGTTTCCTCTCATCTCCTGTCTTTTTCGCCTCCTTGGGAGATCAGGATGTTACTGACTGCTTCTGGGTTAACCTGCTCAGAGATTCAGAGTTGGCACAGTGGTCTGCTCTTTTTTCCCTTCTCTTAGTGAATAGCTGGGTTAGCAGCCTTCATTGGCTCCATGGAGGTGTCTAGCATCATTCAAAGTCTGCTAAACCCTGGGTTCTCTTTAACCTTATGTCTCTGTGCTTAAGCCATGAGTCACACAAGTGTCGTGTACCATATGATCATATAAAGAGCATCCCAGGTGATCCTGCTGCCCCAGAACCAGTGTCTTAGTGCAGCCTTTGCAGTAAGTGTGGTGAACCAGCTGATTAGCATTCAAGCAGACAACATTCAGATTTTGATCCTACCTCACACCACACACAAAATTTCAATTATAGATATAAATTCTGAATGTGAAAGGCAAAATCATAACACAGTGGTGTAGATTATGTTCAGCCTCTTGAGATAAACCAAACACCAAAACTGCCAACATAAGAAAGTATTAAGGTGTGCAGGCCAGCTGTGGTGGCACTCCTAATGTCCTAGTACTCAGGACAGAGGCAGCCAAATGCTGACAGGAGAATAGTTTGTTTGGGTTTTCACTTATGACGGAGAGAGTCAACAGTGAAACCAGCATGATGCCTCGCAGCGCTGAATGTAGCCTGTGGCCTAGGAGCTCTAGGTGTTCTCTTCACAGCAGTGCAAGCACATGTGCTCTGAAAGACACGGTCAGGAGTGATTGTGGAAAGGAAGGCCACGCCCAGTGACCAAGCCCTGAAAACAGTCTGTCACCAGTCACATAGGCAAACCGTAGTGTCTCACACTGGGGAATTACCGCTCCACAATAGGAAGGGCAAACTACTATGGCATGCAACAGCGTGGTCTGTCCAACAAAACAAGGTTGAGTGTTCACATAAAGTTCAAAAACTAGCAGGCAAAGGGCTGGGGAGACGGCTCTGGGGTTAACGGCACTCGTAGAGGATCCAGGTTTGATTCCCAGCATCTATATGGTGGCTCACAACTGTCTTTAACCCCAGTTCAAGAGGATCCATTGCCCTCTTCGTGACTTCTGCAGGCACATGCAAGTGGGGCACAAACGTCTATCTATGCAGGCAAATCACTCATGCATATAAAACAATAACTAAAACAGCAACAGACGTCAACACACTGAGTGTTGGAAGTCAGTGACAGTGACCCTGGGAACAGGGAGGTGGCTAGAAGCGGCAATACACTGCCCTGTACTTTCTTGGTCTGGTGGGAGTGTCTTACCTCTGAAAATCCTCTATCTGTGCACTTTTCAACCTGCTTCCTTCTAGAAGTTTGTTTAAAAATAGACGATGCATGAATTGTGAGGAAAGTCTCCCCTGACACCTGGGCTGAAATCCGTCCTCATGTTGTTCTCCTGTTGCCTTATTTTCCCATTGTCCCCGTTACTTGGCATTTGCTTCCGTTAGTTCTTTTTGTAGCTGCTTGTAGGTCTTGTCTGTTTGTCTGTACACTGTGGCAGCTGCATCTGGTACTCAACACGAAACCTGGGGAGGATCTGTGAGATGGAGGCGGGATACCAAGGGGAGGATGGACTTCCCCTAATACAGTCTCTCCATGACATCTGTCTCAGAAACCGTGACACGTAACAGTGGTGACACCTCTGGTGTCTCCGTTCTTTAGGACATTCACTGCCTGTGTGTCTTGCTGTCCAGGTGTGGTGTGTCGCCTCTCTCCTAATCTCCCTCCTTGTCACATAGACAGGCAGTTTTCTTTCTTCTGAAGTCAGAAGGGATGGAACAGAGTGTAAGCCAGCCCATGCTGCCTTTACAGAAGGCATATCTAGAAGCTTCCTGGTCACTCCATGCCAGCTCATTTGTGTTTCTCACTGCATCCACATGCGAGAGTCTCAGATCTTGGCCATCCATAGGCCAGCATCAGACTTCACTCAAAATACCCAGTGTGCTTTGCATCCAGGTAGATGAAACTAGGTTCAGGTTGAGCTGTGAGCCCTCCCCACCCATGTCGTCTTTCTCATAGTCACTCCGCAGCTCTTCCCTTCTCTCTGAATGTGAAGACACAGGAAAAGGGAGAAAAGCCTCCAGGCATCATCAGGGGGCTGTGCTCGCTGTTGCAGAATAAAAAGATAACAGCCAATTTGTCAGGAAGCACTGACAAAAAGATAAAGTTGAAGATAATTAACTGGCTGACATACTGGGAGCAATGTGCCTGCCAATAACTCCCTAAATCAGCCAGAGCCTTGGCAATGCGGCAGCCATTCATCAGTTTTACAGCACGCCTCTGACAGGCTCCTCAGTTGGAAACCTGGCCTGCACAGATCGTGTGCTTTGACACTGAACCAACCTATGCCATATGCTGGGTTGTGTAAGGTTCGAGGTCCACATCCATCCAGGAGATGCCTGCAATCCGTATATACCCATCCTGTCACCAGCAGTGTTTGGCCTCCAGGGACACTTTCCAGAGGGGTCACGCACAGCCTTCCTGGTGGCCTGGACCCATCAGGTACCACTGTCAGCCAGCTGGATTCTCTTGGTGACGTGTGTTGGCATAGCATTGAAAAGAATTATGAGGCCAATTGTGGTGGCCCACAACTGAAATCCCAGCGTTGCAGAGGCTGGGACAGGAGAATAGTAAGTTCATGGCTGCATAGGGAGACCATCTCAAAACTCATAAAACAAACAAGGGAGTGTGAAGAATCTTAGTAAAGTGGAAAATCAGAATTCAGGAGCATATGCTGGGCACCACTATGTAAAATCTGCTCAATTAATATGCACAGTGGGATTATTTTAAACTAAAATTATATTGTGATAACTTCCCTACCTTGGATATTTCCTAATTTGGGGCAGGGAGACTAGCACTTTCCTTGCACATGTATGAGGCACTGAGTTGAATCTGTGGCATCTGTTTCCCTTCTTGAGAGAGTTACAAAGATGTGATAGTTTCCACACCTTACAGTTGGGGAAGCTTACGGAGGAGGAGGAGGAGGAGGAGGAGGAGGAGGAGGAGGAGGAGGAGGAGGAGGAGGAGGAGGAGGAGGAGGAGGAGGAGGAGGAGGAGGGAGGAGGAGGAGGAGGAGGAGGAGGAGGAGGGAGGAGGAGGAGGAGGGAGGAGGAGGAGGGAGGAGGAGGAGGAGGGAGGAGGAGGAGGAGGAGGAGGGAGGAGGAGGAGGAGGAGGAGGAGGAGGAGGAGGAGGAGGAGGAGGAGGAGGAGGAGGAGGAGGAGGAGGGAGGAGGAGGAGGAGGAGGAGGAGGAGGAGGAGGAGGAGGAGGAGGAGGAGGAGGAGGAGGAGGAGGGAGGAGGAGGAGGAGGAGGAGGAGGAGGAGGAGGAGGAGGAGGAGGAGGAGGGAGGAGGAGGAGGAGGAGGAGGAGGAGGAGGAGGAGGAGGAGGAGGAGGAGGAGGGAGGAGGAGGAGGAGGAGGGAGGAGGAGGAGGAGGAGGAGGAGGGAGGAGGAGGAGGAGGGAGGAGGAGGGAGGAGGAGGAGGAGGGAGGAGGAGGAGGAGGAGGAGGAGGGAGGAGGAGGAGGGAGGAGGAGGAGGAGGAGGAGGAGGGAGGAGGAGGAGGAGGAGGGAGGAGGAGGAGGAGGGAGGAGGAGGAGGAGGAGGAGGAGGAGGAGGGAGGAGGAGGAGGAGGAGGAGGAGGAGGGAGGAGGAGGAGGAGGGAGGAGGAGGAGGAGGAGGAGGAGGAGGAGGGAGGAGGAGGAGGAGGAGGAGGAGGAGGAGGAGGGAGGAGGAGGAGGAGGAGGAGGAGGAGGAGGAGGAGGAGGAGGAGGAGGAGGAGGAGGGAGGAGGAGGAGGAGGGAGGAGGAGGAGGAGGAGGAGGAGGAGGAGGAGGAGGAGGAGGAGGAGGAGGA